TTAATCTGACATACGGTATGTTATATCGCCCTCAAAAGTCAAGCACAAATTACGCGGGGTAGCGACATTTACCATTAATAGATAATTAGCGTCGGTTGCGGCAAGGCGTTTACAACATACGGCGTAATTGTAGCACAAACACAACGCCCAAAGGCCGCCGGCCGCTAATGACCATCGCGTGGCGTATCGGAAAATACCAATACCGATTTGTTCCGTTACCAAACGATCATATCATAGTTTGTCATGATTGTACACGGAATGATCGATCGGTCTACGTTTATTACTAAATTGTATATCTATACTTATAATAAAATAAAAAAAAATCGAGATTTCGGGAAGATGATGTATTTGCTTTGGTGATTAAGTAAATCGCATTAAAAAAATTGTCTGTCTGTATGTCTGTCTTTCCGCAAGCCTCGTTTGCTCCGTGTAATCTCCGAAACTGCTATGCCGATTACGACGGGACTTTCACTGGAGGGTAGCTGATACGGATAGGCATATTATAGGCTACTTTTTTAAATTCCGCGCTGTTAAATCGCGAAACTGTTCGTCGAAATTTGCGCTAACGAATTTTGCGGGCGACAGCTCGTACATACCCATGCTAATTACGTTCGGCATTTCGGTATCATGTAATAGACAGAAAATCTAACAATCTTGTTTATTCCACATGCAAATATTGCTTAATTTTTAAGATAAGGCATCGTACATTATTTAATTAGATTAAATAGATTTAAACCAAACGAATAAAAAGTTATTAATGAAAATAGGTAGTATGCGTTGAGGAAGTCAAGAAAGGCAAGTACGTTAAAAATATATTTAGCCCTTATGTTATCTCCAATGGTGTGCCAAGGACAAACGAAATGAAAATCAACATTTATACCTAAATTTATAAGCCACGGAGTCGGTTGTATGAAAAACCAGTTTGTTAGTTGGTCTGCACAGGTGGACAATAGCGCAAGCCAGACATAGATTATATTGACTCGCTGGCACCAGTTACTGTACCAATTATACCACTTGAATGCCAGTCTAGTAACTGAACACTAATAGCCAAGTAGAAACCAAGTATGAAAGGTAACAATGAGTGGAAAAACGGTCAAAGAAAATTTAACTTTTGCCTCAACGAGTTGTGTACAATCAAGCCTGTTCGGAACAATTTCGACTTTATTCTGTTCGGCTAGAATTCGCAAAAATTCAATATTTTTTTTTAATTAAAATTCGCCTTGTTATTTCGACTCAATGCTTATTGCCGTGCTCGATTCTTTTGAAAAGTATTTTAAAGTTCTATTTATAAATGTATCAAAAAAAATGTCTTATATTAGGTATAAAACGTGTCCCTTCAATGCCATCATAATCGATTCGTACTGCATTTATAATATATACATAGGTTCATACAAGGATAGTAATTAAAACACTGAAAATTATTTAAAGAAATACCATTATCACGAGGGGAAAACTGTGTGGAAGAGTAGTAGACAATGAATTAATGCAGCGCTGCTATTGTTTGCATACACTGCTTTAATAGTCGTACTGCAATATATTACTATTCCGCCCACGTGTGAAACTCCCAAACGTTCAGCCCGGCGCACGTAAAACCGCAAGTGTCCCGGAGAAATGTAAGTGTTGAAATTATATTTATAATTAGTGTATTGGTGTGGCTTTCCACGATAAAACCCAACATGAACATTTATCAAAATAATCTTATTGAACTAGGCTACTTATTAATCGTCAAATTCATGTACAGTAAAGGGGGTGCGGGCTTAAGAATTTTCCAAGCAAATAAGAAATAACAATAATTGCAGTTCATACCTACAATTAAATTTTACGCGGGGACGGGAGTACAAAATAAAAAAGTAGTTCCATTGATTATACCTGATATATTTATTTAAGTGCGATGGTATATACTATGTTACATAAAAAATAAGATGTGTTATAAAAAACAAAAGAGAGTCATGTCTCTACAGTAGTGGATTGAGTGTAATAACGGCGCAACACACGCCTATTATTATTTAAATTGTAATTGTAATGTTAATAATTGAAAGAATCGGGAAAATCCCTCCCGGAAAAAGCCCCCTCGGACCCAGGAAACTGCGGCTAACCAGCCGAATATGGGGAAAATCAAGGCCCTTGGGGGGAAATATTTCATTTCATCACATATAAGCGTATTAAGAGGCGAGAATGAAAACCCTATGCTGGTCCAGAGTTGGACACATTAATACGCGGTACAAAACCACTTCAGTAGAAACAGACTCCCAATGTAGTAGAGTCCCTCGTTGTATTTATACGAATCGAATGAAAAAAGTTGATAGCGTGTTTTAGAATTCTAGCGGCAACGGCAATAATAATTTTTGTTATACTCGTATATAATAAGTTTTCTTTCAGGTTTTTGATTTCTTTTAATATTATTATACTATATCTAAAAATAATATAATATTAATATTTAAAAACAGTTTGTTAAAACCGTAAAATAATATTTTTAACACAAATCCTTCGTCGGGATTTGATCTCGGTTAGCAAACTGTTCTGATTTAACGACGATTTGCGATACGAGAGGGCGCTTATAAAAAGTTTTAGTATTTTCTACGTAGAATTCAATTAGAAAATGTTATTTTAATCCACATTGCATCTCTTTCATTATTATTAGAGAAATATAGACAGAATAGTAAATTATATAAAAATACAAGTATCTCTGCAAGTGAATTTTGCCGTTAAAAATAGTATACATAAGCATCTGTGTTATTCTGTCTTAATATACACACAAAAAAAAAAACATACAGACGAATTGAGTACCTCCATCTTTTGGGAAGTCGTTCAAAAATAGAAATAATACAAAAGAGAGTTATAGCTTCATCAACAGTGGATGAAGAGGCCCAGATAATCAAACCTCATTAGACCGATAAATGTATCATGTCTTAAGGACTTAAATTGTTTAAGGAATCGGACTGAAAGCCTAAAGTGTGTCAACTTAATTCGCGAGTACAATTATTCAATAAACATGTAGCGCGATAAATTGGGCAAGATTTTATAAAGCTCTTTACCCATCACTCGTTTTACTATACAATTTCTTAATGTCTACGCAGATGCTACGTGTCTACGAAGAAATGTTTTGACCATGTTTGAAATGGACTCATTTTACAACTTGAAGTTGTAAAATTTTATATTTACGATTTGTGATCACATTCTTTTTTGTACAGATAATTTACTACAACAATGTAGTTAAACAAAAATTTGATATTGGGATATTTTAGGAATCGTAACGGTGCGGGCGGTCAGAAAGTCTTGTAGTCAATTTATCAAATATTGATTTATCAATATTAATTCTCCTTAATAATATTAGTTAGTCAATAATTTTTAATAGTATTTAGAAATATTATTAAGAGGAAAGAAAAATACATACCTCATACTTTGATTTTATACTAGTCTAGAAAAAGTGTTTTTTTTTTTAATTATCGCCTATAAATTTGCAACCAATAAAAATAAAGATTAATTCAATTATGTACTTCAAAATGTAAACTGTTATATAATTCCCGTAATAAAAAGGTCAAAAATGAATGTATAGGTAAAAACTTTAAAAGTCAAGCACTTTTATAAGAGGTATGAAAATTAATCCAAATATGAGTTCGGTTGTAACTTGAACAGACGTCAGTTGTTCTTTCTCACGGGCCGCGGCCGCCGCTACGCCATTACCTTCTCCGTTCGATGACAGTAACGTGCACGACTTCCTTGATGTCGTCATTATCACCCACAATCTACTACGAATTTTTTATGACGCGATTATTCTTTTTTTTATTTAAAAACTGCGCGAAAGCTGCTCACGATTCCATCTGCGTGGATTTAAAAAAAAAAACAAAAGTATGTAGCCTGAGTCTTTTAGACTATACTCTACATCTGTACCAAATTTCATCGAAATCGGTTCAGCAGTTTAGTTAAAAAACTCTCACAAACATCCATCTAAACTTTCACATTTATAATATTAATTAGCTTGTGGTGGCTTCAAATGTTCTAACCCTAACGTTTTCGGTTTAGATTATTCATTAATACTTGAGCTATGTTATTCGCGCTACGCTAAGAAAAGGGTTTCCATTTAGTGCAAACACATTTTAAATCTAAATTGTACTTTGGAGTTTTATAGCGATAAACAAACAAATGTATTGATTTTCCCATGCTTTTATTTTATGACGCAAATTATACCCTATTAGTCCAAGTCTCGATTATGTAGAGCTAACCATATTTTAAATCCTTTTCTGTCGCCCTAGCAGCTTTGCGACGTATCAAAAATGCTATTGCACATGTTTAAAAGGCAATTTGTACACTCGGTGGGCTTAACGACAAAAGGCACCGTGTTGTCAATGTTCAGCCAAGCTTCTATCGACAATCGATTATTAATAGCATCAGAAACATGACGCAGCACAACTCTTTCAAAATCCCCGCAAGTGTCGCGGGATGTTCACCAAATTGATTGAACCATTGTATTAACATATTCTTATGCGCATATTTTTAAATTTATTTTGCAAACTTTTGTCGTTAATATTTCGCTGAATCGATTTTGATGATGGGTTAGGGAGATTTAAGGGCGCGCAAAAAAGTAAGCATTTTAGGTGACTTATTTATTACATTGTATTTGTATTGTCATTATAACTAATTCTTAGTCGTCTTACTAAGTGTTATCTACTTTCGAATGTCTGCGATCATGGGGGCTATGTGGGTACACGGAAAACCAGCACTTACATATCCCCGGAAAGACAATAACTGATTTTACACTTAGTAGTTACCTTCCATTTTGTATTTGCATTTCAAAGCGACTGTTCATAAACAACAAATTTTGGAAAATTAATCATTAACATTGTAGCATTAGCTAAAAATTACATTAAATCCCTCACTCAGTTTAAAAAAATAGATAGAGCAATATTTAAATAGTGTTCTATCTATTTCTTGTTTAAAGAAGGACTTCGGAATGGTTCCAATTTAAGAAGTGTAAGTTTTATATATTGTGATGTAGGGAAATGGAGAGAAGGGAAATCAAACCCGAGGTGTTGTGCCGCGTGTGCGGGGACAGGGCTTCGGGCAAGCACTACGGCGTACCCTCCTGCGATGGCTGCAGGGGATTCTTCAAGAGGAGCATACGCAGGTAAACTTTGAGCAGTCCAAGATATTAGCAAACTATTACATTCAAAGTTGTGTAATGTTTAAGTACCGAAGTTTCCTCTGGGGTCTTAATTAATCTGTACTAAGGTACGGTGTAAGAAACTATAAAACTAATTTAGGATTGCATCGATCACTTAAGTCCTATGACTTCATAGTAGAGCAATAATAAATTTGCGCGAATGAGCTCGACTGATGCAATCACAATCACACAGAAGACTGGCGTGAAGTAGAATTCGTTCCGCGTTTCGTCTGACAATTATGGGTGGGTTAGGTATTATTTTAGTGATCTAAGTACCCTTCCCTTCGCTCATTTCTTCAAAGGATAGGGTGGGATGGGGAAATGAATTTGGCAGAAGAAGGGACGCATGGAAGAGACTGACGTCCTCCTTATGTACGTCTCTTTCTGGAGATTAAGGGAAGCAACGCATTTGTAATTACGGATAAATAGAGACGGTCACTTCTCTGTATCGACGAATTGCGTTAGCCGCTTGCTCCATTACTACTTTGTAACATTAAAAAAAATTATTCCTTTTTCGTAAGTTTTTTTTTTCGGAATACGTATCCATTTTATTATATCTTGTTACTTATACTGCTTAACCGATTTTAAGGATTTGTATATGCTGTTCCCTTCTAGATTTATTTAACATATAACGTATTACTTCGTAGGAACCTCGACTACGTATGTAAGGCGGGGGGTCGATGCATAGTGGACGTCAGTCGCAGGAACCAGTGTCAAGCTTGCCGCTTCTCTAAGTGTTTGCGAGTCAATATGAAGAAGGAAGGTATGGTTTATACGATTTAAATGCATTTCAAATAACAAATAAAATGTATGAAAACAACATAACAATTACTACGATTTGTAATCATACTAATATTATAAAGGTGAAAGTTTAGATGGATGTATGGATGGATGGATGTTTGTTAGAGTTTGTAGCCTAAACGGTTGAACAAATTTCCATGAATTGGTATAGATGTAGAGGATAGTCTGGAAGAACACATAGGCTACTCACTTTTTTTAATTACACGCGAACGGAAATGCGGGCGAAAGCTAGTTGGATATTGAGGCGAAATATATAATATTTATTGCGTATAATCCACACCATTGAAATGAGACAAATGGCGCGTTTTAAATCGATAACTGACGTAGCACTTGTCTCAATAAAGTATTTATCCAGGCGGCTTCTTCGCAGCATCTCTTTTCCATTAGTCGACATCTCAAGTATTTGCGGTACACAAGTAACAGTAAGTGGCGATTGATAAAAATCGTGGGAGGTTCGCGGTCGATTTTCATCTGTTCAACGTTGCCCTTCACAGTCGAGGACGTTTATTTCCTACCCTCGGTGAAATGTCATATTTGGACGTTATGGAAATACATTGTAATAGCTACATTACTACTAGCACCCTCCTCTTAAACCTTGTAAGTTTTACCTATGCATTTTCTGTCAGGAACAAATTTCTTTAACTATAGGTCGACATATCATAGGAATATAGTGCATAATTATAGCTTGTATTGGGTTTTTCGAGTGCATTGACACTTTTTTTATACCTATTGTCGTCTCTATTGACAAAGAGAACGTCAGATATGACAATATGTAAACAGGTATGGGTGCCGTGGTGTGTTACGGTGACTTTGCTATGCGATATTCGATCTAAGTGGTTACCGAATTAAATTCTTTGTAGGTGGAAGTGTGAACATTGCACGCGACTGTACAAGCTGACGTTTCGCACGTTATGAAACATATTGTGGTATAGCTGTCCCTAACATCAACCCCTTGGGTTACATGAGGTTATTATTTCAACAAATGGTTGACTCCTCGTTTAAATAAGGGATTTTGATGTTAATTGATTGCAGAGTTCATTTGTTTGATTATATCTATACTAATATTATAAAGAGGAAAGATTTGTATTTTTGTATGTATTGAAGTGACTCAAAAACTACTGGGCCGATTTCAAAAATTCTTTCATGATTAGAAAGGAGATTTTTCTGTGACAAACATAGGATATGTTTTTTTTATTATTATTTTAATTTCCCCTGAGAGAAGTCGCGAGCAACAGCTAGTAATTTATACGTCGAGTATAGTATAATCATGTTTATTTAAGAAGGCATTATATTTTAAGCCAATATATGCTTATTTTATTTTTTGGAATAAAAATGTTCGTTTGCATACTTATAACCTCTGAGAAGTGCGATGTCACCCGCAGTCTGTTTACAATCCGACGACGTCGAGGAGACGGGTCCACAGTATCTAATGTGATGGACATGTTTGTGCTCTCACACTTAGGTGCACATACGTCAACATTCGCACTAAATGTGGTATAACAATTACATCGTTATAGGGTCGCCGTTGTAGTCAAATGATTAAGTTATCGAAGATGTTTTCTTGGGTTTTTATGATTATCCAAATTGGTAACATTACATGATTGAATGATTGAGTAGGATGATTCAAACATCGTCACACCCATTTGTTACAAATTATGCGAATTAAATCTTCAATCAACATGAATTGATTTTTAATAGACACTTTCGAAGGACATTCTGTAGTTTTAGGTTAATTGCCATTTGTTAAAAAGAAGAAATGAAATTTTCAAATGTCAAATTTTATTCATTGTTTTTTTTTCTTTAAATATCACGCAATACATATTTCTTTACTGAATTGAAAGTTATTTTTTTAATTTGAAAATTTTATTTCCTCTTTTTCACAAATGGCATTTAAGACGCTGTTACGGCAAATTGCGCATCTTTGGAAGCATAGAACAGGATTTCTACAAAGATTTGATTGGTGATATTTTAGTATGTGTAACTTCAGTCCTTTAACTAAAGTTAACTAAAGGCTCGTAGAACAGAATCACGATTGGACAAACTTTTCTCGATAGATTTATTTTTTGAAAATGTGCCTAATTAGTAAGTATAAACACTCCTTCGATAGACATAAAAGAGACTAAACCTGTCTTGGGACAAAAACTAACTGTGACTTTAAAAAAATGAATCTAAAAAGTGTTTTTGTCCACAGCGGTACAACACGAACGAGCTAGACGTCCTTTCGTCCAACAACAATATTCTATTCAGAAGGGCTACGATTTTTCTAGACCGAATGTATTCCCCACCACACCTTTAGCAACATTCACTCCCATCCACTCCTACAACACTATAGATACGCGAACACCTACATTCACAGAACATACCTTTCAGGATTTCTCACGATATCCAGACTTACCACCAGATATGAATCCTTTAATGCAAGCTAACTTGAATACACTAAATCCATTCAAACTGCCGATGTTTCCCACATCCTTACACTATCCGCAAGCCGCGTATTTCCCGACAAATATTTTCTATCCGCCCGTCGCTATGGGGAACTCGGCGTTCTTAGAAGCAAGAAGCACTAGTAAGTACTATATGTCAGAATAAGTATTTGTGTTCCACTAATGGATTTTTATAGCGCGTTTCAAGTTTATTTCTAAGTTATATTAAATATTGTTGAAATTCTTAAATTATTAATACTTTCCAATATAAAGCAAATTCAAAGCAAAAGCAATTATATATCATATCATGCAAATTATCTTACGTTTTGAGGCATTTAGCAAACATGATTCTGAAAAATTTTTTGAACCATTGGTGTATTGATTTTATTTTACTAAGCCAAAAATATTTCACTAACTTAAAAGATCTATATATCTTTAAAAAATCGACTTAAAAGAAGTATTTACTTCTATCAAATACGATTTAAAATAATTTTATATTAACTTGAAACATTTTATTTTATAACAGAGCCTATTATTGAAGATCTAAACACACATAAATTGCATCAACACTTCAAGGATATTGAAACAAAACCTGATTCCCAGTTAACTGGCAAATTGAACGAGGACGAAGTGTCAAGCTCAGAGGAAGTGTTCAAGAGCAATCCACCAGCTATAACAAATGAAGACGGTAAAGTATAACTAGGTTTTTACGAAAACTAGTATGAAAATGCGACCTTTCCGCGACTACGTCCGCGTGGAATTTAAAAAAAAAAACAAAAGCAAGAACCCTAAGTGATCTAAGTCTTTACATCTGTGTCAAATTTCATCGAATTTCGTTTAACTGTTTAGGCTACAAACTCTAAGATCCACCTATCCATCTAAACGTTCGGATTGATAATTTTAGTAATATTATTAGTGTTTTTTTAAGAAAAAAAAGACTGGCATTTTAATCTTACGTCAAGACACATCTAAATTTTAATTTATATGTTCTCGTTAAAAAAATATTACAACACTAACAAAATAGATTATCGAATGTGGAAATACACCGAGATTATTTTAAATAATCTAAATGTGTAAATAATAATGTTATAAAGTGGAAAGATTTGTATTTTTGAATTTTTGTATGTATTGAAATAACTCAAAAACTACTCTTACGATTTAAAAAATTCTTACACCATTAAAAAGCTGTGTTATCACTGAGTAACATAGGCTATATTTTTATCACGTAGACGAAGTCGCGAGAAACAGCTGGTTAACAATAAACTCGCTTATTTTTAGTCAAATCAAAATATAGAAATCGCATTCATTTAAATCGTACAACGGTTTTAGCTTCACATTAAAAATTCTACAAATTAAATTCAGACAGTTTTATAAGCATTTACATATAGTTATCTAATTATTAACGTAACAAATGCAACGTGATTTTATATTTGTTGGTGTTCGTTAAATTTTTGTCCATACACGAACATGTTTCAACTCGTTCACGTAACAGAGCTGTCTCTTTAATAGGCGAGTGCGGTTATGTCTCTTTTCTTCTCAGTAAAATACTCTTTATTTACAAAAAAAGTACTCAAAATACTTAATTAATCTAATACAAAACTTAAGTTTCAATATCTTGATGTAATATTAAATTCTTACGAAGCTATAAATTGTTCATAGCTGTAACCCGATACGGTTTGCTTCGAGTGATTACTGAATTACTAGAAACGGATTTATTTGAATTACTTAGCTTGCTTGCAGTTCTGCCTTTAAACGTTCCACTAGCGTCAGCAAATACATTGAATACGTAATACGAGTACATTTCGCAATGGAATTATAATATTAAAAATATACCTAGTGTTTCTAAAATCTTGAGTGTGACCAGTCACGTTATAGACTTCATAATACATTGTTGTTATAACAAATATGGATAAAGATAATTTTGATTCAGAGAGTGCGTCTGGTTCATCATTGGGAACAGAAGATACTGTTCGCCACAACGATCATTTGAAACGCTTTGAACACAAAACGCTGGCTTCAATGGCAACCGGGATCCGCGACGGCTTGTACGATCATACCACTAAACTGCTGGTGCTCAGTGTCAAATGGCTTCACAATGTACCGGTCTTTTTGAAACTAAAGCCTAGAGACCAAATGCAATTGTTGTACAGTAACTGGAGGGAACTATTTGTCCTAACAGCTTCGCAATATTCTTATTATTTTGATGAAGGTAAGTTCAATGTTTAAATTTAACTATTTAAACCTAACTTAGGCCCTTGAGATTCTCAGTGGAGACGTATAGCTGGTGATGATGATAAATTTAAAATATATTATAGTCGCCTTTTTAGTTTCTATTAGTCATTACGAATATGTCTGTGGTTACTTATGTCTTTTATTTGAATTTGAGAATAAACGCTATTCATGTCACTTCGATTTTAAATGAGTGCTGTTTTTTAGAACACTTCAAATCTCTGATTAGTGTGAAGAAACCAAATATGAAAGAATTATTGGAAAAATTAACATCGCTTCTGAACAAGATAGTGAAAACTCGTCTGGACAATACAGAGTACGATTGTCTCAAGATCATGCTTTTGTTTCGTAAAGGTAAGATAAAATTTAAAAAAAAATCGACAGTTTCTGATGACTCATAATTTAAAATTGATTTTCTGACGATAAATTATTTCTCAATTGTTTATAACATTCGCAGATACATTGGAATACCCATCGTCGAGTCGAATTGAAAAATTTCAAGAAAAGGCGTTGACCGATTTTCAAAATCATTGCACATTGAAAGATTCCGATCGTCTTGGAAGATTGATGGTTCTCCTACCAAGTGTATGCTTCATCAGCACCCAAGGAATCTTAGAGGATTTGCTGTTTCCTGCAATAGACAAGGATGAAATTCACGTCATATTGTCACGTATACTATTATATTCCGCCACTTAATGCTTCAGTTCGTACTAATGATTGAATTGATAATTTAATTCACTACTCATCATCATCTCCCCTGCCTTATCCTACTCCCGTTGGGTCGGCGCACCGGGTTTTCGTCCTCCAAAGCATTCTATCATCCGTCATCTCAGTCATCACTCCCTTCTTGATCATGTCACCTTTCACGCAATCCATCCATCTCTTTCTAGGTCTACCTCTACCGATGTACCCCTCCACATTCATAACTAACATCCTTCTTGTCACATGCGATTCATCCCTTCTCATAACATGCCCATACCACTCTAACCTTTTACTCCTTATTTTCTCAACCACTGGGGCTACTCTCAAACTTCCTCTAATATACTCATTTCGTATCTTATCCAATCGTGTTACCCCACACATCCATCTTAACATTCGCATTTCCGCTACATGTATTCTCCTTTCATCCGTCCGTTAATCATGAATTTAATTTACTACTCACTTTCGAATAAATAAATTTTTCTTGTATGTAACAATTGTATTTTTTATTTCATTTTTTAAAGTAGCCTCAAATGAAATCATTCAGTTGTTATTTTATAGTTATTGGTCTTGATTAAACAGTGTAGAATAGCTTGCCTCTTTAGCGCTTTTGGTCTTAAAGTTGTACGACGTTTTCCTGTTATTTGAAAATCAATTACTAAATAAGAGATCGCTCTTTTGATAACATAACACTAATAATAACAGCACCAAGACATTTCTTATTTTACATTATATATAAAATAAGAAATGAAGATATATGAACAATAATGGCACCAAATAATTAAAAAAACCATCAAAATGTAAAATTAATTTGAAATCGGCTCTGTTAACAACAAATTTGTAACGTGTAAATTATAATAATCTATACTAATATTATAAAGAGGAGAGATTTGTGTTTTTGTATGTATTGGATTGGCTCGGACGCTGCTGGGCCGATTTCAAATTCTTTCACCGTTGAATGGCTGCGTTGTTTGTTAGTGAAATAGTCTAAGGTTCTTTATTATTTTTTATATGTTATAAACTAAGCGACCAGTGGTTACACATAAATCCTGTGGGTTTATGTACTGCTTATAATATTTCTTTATTGTATTTTGACCTTTTTGTCCAATAAAAAAAAAGAAATAGGAGTCTGTCACCATCATCTTTCTCCTTATCCTACACCCGTAGGGTCGGTGCAAAAGGTTTTTATCCTCCACATAACTCTATCATACGTCATCTCAGTCATCACTCCCTTTTTGATCATATCACCTTTTACGCAATCCATCCATCTCTTTCTACGTCTATCGGTATACCTCCACACTCATAACGAACGTTCTCCTTGTAACATGCAATTCATCCCTCTACTCCTTACTTTCTCTAAGACGCTACTTGTATTGAAATTGCTCCTTACCGTAGAATTTCACGCTGTCAATATTAACGCAATTACATAGGGTTTCCCAGATATCTTTCAATTAATGTTTCTGTAGAAATCCACTGTTGTGGGTTTTAGTGACTTTTTGCATGTTACATCGATTCGATGTTTTTTACTGGTCCTCTTGAATCTAACATAGCTTCAACTTTCAGTTGTTAAAACAGTCCACTATCCTTTAGTGAAATAAGGTACAGTCGCAGAAATCTGCGATGTTCAACTTCAGGAAAAAATGACTTATTCATTATGAGACAAACTCCACTTCTCCCTACAAATAACTAATTAGAGAGCAGTGAGTGCAAACAAAGGGATAATAGAAAGAAAGTAGCTATATACCACTATCCATCTTTAGTACAGACACATTTATAAACGTTGTATTGATTTTTTTCCGCGTCTAGTTGAAAAATATTCAAACGATTGTAGCTTTGAAAATGGAACATCGCCATTTTTCCTGACTGTATTTACCTTTTAACCTGTTAATGTAGCGTTGAATTCCAATCGCCATCCATATAACGATATAGCCATCCTTTTAATTCTTTTTGAAGTGATATAGCAATAAGTTTCTGTGTTACGATAGTGGAAATTCTCTGTAAAATCATTGGACTAGGAATATGATAGACTTTCCTGTTAAAGTAAACAACTTCTAAAACATTCAGTTATTGCCTACTCTATTTAAATATTATATTGTATTTTTTGTACGGATGTTTGAGAATGGAAACCTATATGTATACAATACATTATTTAATATTCAATTGATTTTAGATTTTTGCCTATGTTGATTTATTTAATTTGCTCAAATAAAAATCAAAGACTAGATTATTTTCATATTTTTGTTCTAATTGTGTTTAAGAGATTAAGTTTTTATTACTGTATGTAATTATAATTTCAATAAATGTTTTAAAAAGACACTTATTTTTTTTTTATTATCCTAATATTCTCTTTATTGCAGTTTGAATGACAGTGACATTAACTTATATCCCTCAAAATCTCTTTGAGAAAACAGAGATGGCAATATGCCACTACAGTCAATACAAGGTTGCATTACAGGGTCTAGCACGAAAATTTGAGAGAAAGTATTCGTGACAAAGACCTATTGTGTGTAATCACTAATCCAATATGTTACAAAGTACTCTGTGCACTAGTCTTATCGCTTCCTACGTTCAGTTTTAATTGAACACTCAAACCGATGTAAAAACTGTGTATGTTAAATAGTTAATATTTTTTCTACACACAGTTTTATCTGAATTGATGATATATAGCGAACTTTATATACTTTAATGTTATAGATGACATTTCGAATATTTTCTCGCAAGATTTCATGATACCCTCTCATATAGATCAAGTAGCATATGGGGTAAACAAGGGTAGTATAATTAAAACACGTTTCATATATGCTACACCAATTTATTTTTAGTATTGTCAATTTATTTGAACGCCACATCGTTACAATTATCGAATGCTTCGCAAGATTTCAAAATAAATAAACACATTAACCAGTCAAATACAAAGTGAGACATTCAAACATTAAATTTCTCTATTACCTACCTTTGGATCTAATGAAATATAAACCTATGACAAATGTTAGGCTATGGGGTTTGAAATAAATTAAACTAGTCGCTAAGTAATGAGGTATGCGATTGCACACGTTAAGATATTGTAAGGGTATGTTTCCATTGGCAAAACAATTGTAAACTGTTTGTAAAACAATAGTAAAGTATTCATCAATGGAAACTAACCGCAATATTTTCAACTCATTAAGTTTAACCCTACATTAAGTGATCGCAGACACGGTATTTACTAACACCAGTTGATTCACACGACCATAAGTCAATTTAGGCCTCAGTTGCACTAATAACACAACATAATTTTTTTTAACTTTTATAAAATATACAAATAAGTACTAAACAGGTTTAAAAAATAAAGTCAATCAAAAAAATGCAACATTTATTCTTATTACTAAAAAAACGGTAAACTGACTACATTGGTTGTGTGTGAAACCAACTGCATCTAAATTATAACTATTTTATAGTACCGTGATTGTTAAAATGGCGTCAAAATACGGGAATAAATAAACAAAATTCAAGAACATTGACATCATCGAATTAAATTTAAACATTCAATTGTAAACAAAATTAAATGAATCGAAACAAAATAGATTTTTCAAATTAAATTGCTCATAAAAAAAACGTCCATTCATATTATATTACATTGAATAAATATGTCTTGTGGAATTATTTTAAGATTAATCGCACTGAATTGTCGAATTGCAAAAAAATTAAACATAAATATGATCAAAGAAATATACAAATAGAATAAAAATTCAATTATATAGAAAAACAACTGCAATTAAATCTTAAAGACTTTAAACTGAATTTAATATGGTACTTTTTACTTTTTAAATTAATGCAAAGGTAATTTTGACTGAACAAATATCCATGGCTGAAATTATTTACTAAATTAAGTCAAGTTGGTTGCGATGTTATATTCCTCACATCTTTGTTATAAGATATGTGAAAACAAATATACAACAGTTGTTTACTTTCCGAATTGTTTCATAAGCAGCTCAGTGCTGAAGGATTTTGGTCGTTCGATGGGCAATCCGAGAGCCCTAGACCAGATGAGCTGAGCTAACACTCCAAGGGCGCGGGACACACCGAACATCACGGTGTAATAATTCATCTCCTTCAGACCATAATACTGTAAAACACATTTCATTATTTATTTATTGTAATTTATTTATACAAACATCTATAAAAAGTAACAATAATAAGTACCCCTTCGGGCGTACAATATAATGATTTTTTTTTATAAAATAAGAGCGCAAACTCGCAAGTGGTCACCTGAATCCACCGAAATGGCAAGCGACCGCTGCACATAAACATCCGCAATTGCAGCGCTGCCTACCCGTCATTGACGGAGGAGACGCACATAAAGAGGACATTTCCCCTTCGTATACGTTTTCTCCACCGTCAAATCCACTCTACTTCCCATCCTTTCTTCTCAAGAAAAGGGTGGAAAGGGAAAGGAACTAAAATTAGGCCTTAGGCACCACACTCATCGGACTGTACACGGAATTGCTTCCACTTCACGTCTGTCTTCTGTGTGGTATAACACCGGGCGAGCCGGCCCATTCGTGCGAAGATGTTAAAGCGGGCTCTACCACTGTTAAATGAGTATAAATGCATCGAAACCGAAATGGTGGTTAGTGCCGGAGGCCAAATTTTAGATCCTTTTCCTTTCCACCATTTAAGAGGAATAGATTGAAAGGAAAAGTGTATTTGACGGTGGAGGAGACGCATAGGAAGGGGAAATGTCCTCTTTATGTGCGTCTCCTCCTCCGTAGACAACGCATCTGCAATTGCAGATGTTTATGTGCAGAGGTCGCTTTCCATTTCGGTGGATTCAGGTGGCCGTTTGCTCGATTGCTACACTATAATATATAAAAAGAAGCAAACATTTGAGAATAACAACATAATGCACCTAAAATCATATTTGTAACATTGATATTTTTAACAAGCTTAACATTAATTATAACATTCTTGGCCAAGAATTACACCTTAGTTTTACTTTGTATTATTTCCAATGTACTAAAATACATATCACAGAAAAGTCAATGAATACGGTTGTTGATCTATAGTAATTACTGTTTTCTTTATTACTTTAATACTAGATTTCTCCCGCGAATCCGTCCGCGTGGAATTAAAAAGTGAGTAGGCTATGTGTTCTTCCAGACTATCCTCTACATCTTTACCAAATTTCATCGAAATCCGTTCAGCCAAGGCTGCAACTCTAACAAACATCCATCCATCCTTCTAAATTTTCGCATTTGTAATATTTGTATTAAGAATTAATACAGAAGTATAAATTTGCCTTTTTTTCTGCCATAAAAGTAATTATAATGTTTAATATTTACCTGTAAGAGGACACCGGAGTGAGAGTCTACATTGGGCCATGGGTTCTTGACTTTGCCGAGCTCGGTGAGGATGGGAGGCACCACTTTGTACACAGCTGCTACCAACTTGAACAGCGGGTCGTTGGGCAAATGCTTCAACGCAAACTCACGCTGGCAAGTATATCTGAAACACATTTTATTACATTAGTAGCTTTCGCCCGCGACTCTGTCCGCGTAGTGTAAAACAAAAATAAGTAGCCTATGTGTTCTTTCTGGACATCCTCTACATCTGCGTCAAATTACATCAAGATCTGTTCAGCTGTTTAGACTATAAACTCTAACAAACATCCATCTAAAAATTCGCATTTATGATATTAGTAAGATTGGTGAGAATTAAACCATTTATTTACTTCATAATTATCTTTTAATCATAACCCTAATTTAACAACAAAATTCCCATAGAAACCTCTTATATTTTACAAACAGTAAAAAAATTATAAAACATGTCACAAATTAAAACGATTAAAAGAATGTAACAATCTTACTAATTTTATTAATATCAGCGAAAGTTGGAATAAATGGATGTTTGCATTAAAACTATTCGTTGAGTCATACCAATGACTTAAGCAACCAAATTCGTGCAATTCCTTCATATTTTGCTTTAAGAAACTTCATTCAAACCAAATTAAAAGACATTAATTGTAAATTTAATAAAATGTAAATGTGAGATCTTAAATGGATAGATGGATGGATATTTGTTAAAGTTTGTAGACTAAACGGTTTAAAGGATTTCGATGAAATTTAGTACAGTTGTAGAGAATAGTCTAAAAGAACAGATAGGCTACTCACTTTTGTTTTTTTTTTTTAATTCTACGCGATCGGAGTCACGGACATAAATGTGTAAGTTTATACGAATGGAAAATACATAAAGAGTATGTTTCCCTTACTTTACCAAATGTCTTACCATCTATTAGTTATACAGAAAGGTAACAAATTAGAGAAAAGGTTTCTTCTACGAAAATCTATATTATCTGGTACTGGTGCGACCATTAAATCATTTAATTTTGATTTTTTATTTTCAGTTATAAAAATCTATATTATCAGTTATGACAATTTACCTAGGATCCGTCTTCCTGAGCACCGCGTGCCCATAGCCAGGCACCACCTGTCCCGACTTAAGCGTCTTCCAGATAAACTCCTTAAGTTGTTCCTCAGTAAAGTTGTCACCAACTTGCTTACGGAGTTTCTCCAACCAAACAAGTACCTAAAAGAAAATGACAGTTAAGTTACATATGTACATACCAAGTGCATATCTAATTAAAATCTAAGTAAAACTATTCAACAAAATGTTGAGATTATTTCAAATTTATTAAAAATACCCTTGGGTTAAGTCTTCTGCTCCTCTATGGTCTCCTATCAATAGCAATTTTTAAAATAAACTACTTAAAAATACGTGAATTTTAATTTTAAAATTTTAAAACTTCGTAGATTTTTTTATATTACCGTGGCAATCAAGGTGCCACCTGAATTCGCAGTAAAAGCGAAGCGATCACTGCCCATATACATCCGGAATTGCAAACGCATTGCCTACCCTTAATCTTAGAGACGTACATAAAAAGGATATTTCCCCTTTCTATGATCTCTTCCACCGTTAAATCCACTTCCCTTCCCATCTTTTCCGTATAAGAGAATGGTATTAAAGGAAAAGGGCAAAAATCAGACCTTTTAAGTGGTTAAATTATAATATACTAACTTCTTGGTTAGCCAATCCGTGCAGAGGTCCAGCAAGACCGTTAAGTCCCGCAGCAAAGGAAAGATAAGGGTCGCTAAGTGCAGATCCCACCAAGTGCGTTGTGTGCGCCGATACGTTGCCACCTTCATGATCACTGCCGACAAAGATATAACCCAATTAAATACATAAATACTTAAAATTCAACGTTTAAAAATATCAAAAATACAATAAAAATCGCTATACATTCGCTTCGTTATATAATACTATTGCGCGACTTTGTCCATAATGTCAGTAGCGAAACTATTTAATGGTGAAAGAATATTTGAAATCTGTCCAGTAGTTTTTGAGTTATTTCAATACATACAAGAATCCAAACATTTTCTCTTCATAATAGTAGTATAGATATCTAAAAAAGTATTTATTTACTGAAATATGATTTAATAATTCCATCGCAAGCGTTTTTCTTTGAACTTCATTAAAAATGAATTATGATTTTTTATATATTCAATTGCATAAGAAAATTCTGGAAAAAATATGATAAAACTAATCAGATACGACGGATAAAGTTAGCAACGATATATCAAACACTTGTAGCTGCTTAAGACCGTCAGGGATATTAGAAACGGGATATCGATAAGAATTTAAAGGCAAGATTACACGAAAAAACTCGCAAACACACGATAAAAGATGAAATGCAAGATAATAGTCGAGAATACACAAAAGATATAAAAAATCGCACAAAAAAAAACAAATAAAAAATCGCTAATCGTTACAGATTAATATGGAATTTCACTATGTTACTTGGTATACTTAGATTATTTCTAAGTTAGAGTATAACCACATATATAAGATAATTTTTCCATTACATCGTTTCATAAATCATAACCAATAAAATGTTATCAGAATAATTACATAGATGAGGCAAATCGTTTACAAACGTCACTTTGTTCATTCGCTTGAGTTGGTTATTTTACTCTGAGCATTGAGATCGAGATTTTTAATTACAACTTGGTTTCCACTACTTAAACATGTATAGAAACATGTTGCCCTCTCCAATACTCAGTGTAACAACATATGTATCTTTATGCTGTTGTAAAATATATGAATGAAGCATAAAAGGAAATAGGTCGTAATACGAAACGTTACATCGCTTTGCGCTTATCTGTGTGAATACTTTTTACATTAAAACTGTCATTGAAATTTAATACGAAACCCGTTCACTTACATTTCCTTTATAATTATCGCCAGCTTTATTTGTTGCAATTTATATAGTTAAAAAAATTCCCTTGTTTGTATGTCGACTTGTGATGTGATATCTACGTTTTGTATACGTTTTGTATCTTAAATTTACGTTTATAACTGATTACAATCAACGTTAGACTGCATTGCCTTATTAACTTGCATTTCACCTATTAATGGTATAGAAATTTGCTCACATTCAAAACAGGGTATTTAAAAAAAACGCAAAGCCGCAAGCAAGTTATTTTACATAGTTAATTAGTGAAAATAATAATCCACATGGGCGGCGCCGCTACGGGGTAACGCAAAAATAATATCTGAAATGTTTAAGCCGCAATCTTATATAAGTTATTTGCACTGCGACGGACAATTTCCAATGGTAGGTAGACACTTTGAACATTTTGGCTTGATATTCACAAACATTAAATTGCATTGTCTTACTGTTACAAAAAATATATCTGCAAATTGTCTTAAAGATATTTCATATAATATTTTGCGATACCGGTGCGTTGCCGTTTATTTAACATTGCCTTAAGGGAATTAATACCAACCTGTGAATAGTGAGGTAAAGTCTCATCAGTTCGCTGAACTGTGGATCATCGAAGCCGAGCATCGTGCAGTAGTTTGCTGACCAATCCTTGTTATCATCAATAGCGCCGATACCTTTTCCATCGCGGTAGGTATTGCGGTAAATAGTTGCGGCAATCACAGGCAACTTTGCGATCAGATTCATCGAGTCTTCATATACGTACTGCCAAGAAAATTAAACATATAACAGAATTGTAAAAAAAGTAACTCGACCAAGACTTTTAAATATAGACTAGGCATAGTGAACATTTTCTCTCAAGTGAAGTGTCAACTATGCCTATTCTATATATTTTAATCTCTTTAAACTCGACAGATTTGAGTACAAATCGTAAGACAAATTCAATCAAATTGTTTACAGTTGTTTACAACTATCAGCTTATCATATTGCTTAATTAATCTCTTTAAGTTATAGAAAATATCAATGTCTACAAAAACACATGAAACCTTTCATGGTAATAAAACAAGATTTCTTAAGGTGCATCGCTTCGAAGTACTGAAGCCATACTCGAGTATTACGTAATATAAGGCGGAGCGATGCTTATTCACTGTACAGTCGACGACACAAGTCGTCAACAAATTAAATTTGTAATGCCGTTTAAAACGTTTGAAACAATATTAAATAGTCACTAATAGAACTTTTTTACAGTGTATCATTATTTAAAAAAATATCTCGATTCAAGCGGCAAAAATAGTTACATTTCTTAGAGATGCTCTTGTCGACAGTATTGTATAACGTCGTACACGACTTACCTCCCAATACTTGGATTTATGTACACCCTCGGAGTAAGCTTTAGCGAAGGTGGACTCGCTGTTCAGTGCGGTCACCGCAGCTGAGAACTGCGACATGGGGTGCAACTTGCTGGGCATATTGTTCAACATTGTAACAACATGGGCTGGGAGCTCGGCTCTATAAAAATAATAAAGATGGTTGTGATTATACGTACGCTTGGTGTTAATTTAACATTGCCACAATTCTGGTACAAAAATTCATTATTGTATTTTAAATACAATTGCACTATTGTCTCCGATTGTACTTTGACGTGCACAATTGAAAATTGTTATGAATAAACATCACGATTTTCATTACTGATACTTAGCCGAGTTGACACGCGATGTAGGTGGTAATAACATCTGGACACTAACCTAACATTCTAGCATTAGACAAATTATTCTATTTCTGCACAAGATTACACCAATGTAAGAAATCTGATAGCCAATCTTTTAACTAAGGATTCACTACGTCTCTACAAGGGCCGATAATCTTAGGCAGAAAATCGTTGGATGCGCGAAAACGTCTGTGAAAGTCTGACCTTTGACTGATGACGGGTTTAATAATTGTTTATTACCTGCGTGCCCATTCCTTGGAGATGGCATTAACTTGAGCCTCGGTCGGGATATCTCCGGTGACTAGGAGCCAGAACAGACCCTCGGGCAGGGGTTCTTCTCCCCCTTTAGCCTTGGGCAACTTCTGTTGGCATTCCGGGATAGACAGTCCTCTAAATCTAATACCCTCATCGGGGTCGAGGACAGATGTTTCCCAAACTAGACCCTTGATACCGCGCATGCCACCGTACATCTGCAATAAAAATATTATAGAGAATTATACACACTTCAAAGGATCTCACAACATTCATATACAAAAACAGTTATTCCAAATATTTAGAACTCTGCGTTCGTTATCAACCACATGTATATAAAACATATCGCAAACTTCAACACTCGTGTTTCCTTTTACAATCAAATCATAGTTGTATTATGACATTTTTATGGCAATATTTTGAGTTTCAATTCTTGCGCAAGTCATTTATACAGTAAAATATTAATTATATTAATTATATTAATATTTTAAATGACTATTACTATTGCGTTTGCTATTACTTTAATAACGTAAGTACCACTTTTTGGCACTTAATAAAACCACAAAATCACTACTTAAATGTACCACTAATCAAACATCTGACTTTGCTAAAACATTTAAGTTTCTACATAATTTACCCAAACGTGTCTAAAAACATGTTTTATTAATAAGCATATGTTATACTAGCTGTTCTTCGCGACTTCGCACGCGTAAAATTAAAAAAATAGTAAAAACATAGCCTATGTTACTCAGGATAATGGTACAAGAATTTTTGAAATCGATGCCGTAGTTTTTGAGTTATTTCATTACATACAAAAATACAAATCTTTCCTCTTTATAATATTAGTATAGATTGAAATATTTCTTGCACAAAGTCATATACTGTACACTAAATATTGTTTTAAATAGTGCTATATACTAAGAATGGGGACACTAATTTCTGAAGAGAGGTACTAAAAGAACTTATGGTACTAACCATGTCAACGGTAACTTCTCCGACTTTGGAAGATCCATGCTGTTTGCGGAATTCGCGGATTTTATCTTGTTCTTTGGGAATTTTCTCCTGCAGCACATTTTTCAGATTGGTTTGTTCGGCGCTTAGGTTCCTTAACAGGATAGTCGCTGCCGGGTATATTTTCTGTAACAAAAAAGAAATATATTAATATATGCCTATATGAAATACATAAATGTTACTAAAATTAACATTTTAAAAAGAAATAATAAATTAAATAATAAAATCTATCATTATACTAATATTATAAATGCGACAGTTAAGATGGATGTTTGTTAGGAGTTTGTAACCTAAATTGCTGAACAGATCTCGATGAAATTTGGTATAGATGTAAAGCATAGCCTGGAAGAACACATAGGCTACTCACTTTGTTTTATTAATTCCAAGCGGAAGGATTCGCGGGCAAAAGATAGTTATTAATATTGTAATTAAAACTTCATGAGAATGGAAGTTAACATTAGGTTTGGCTACGCAATAAATGTATGTGAGCTATAAAACATCGTATGTTACGTTACATTTATTTAATGATATACACTAAACATACGATAGGTTCTTTATGAAGTTAGCAAACGAACTATGTCTTTGGCAAATAAAGATTCAGATAACAATTTTGTAATTACGAACGAACCGTGTCATGTATCTCGGTCAGCCATTGTGTCACTGCATTGAATTAAGAATTTGAGATTTCTGGGCAATGTCATTACGTCACCTTATTATCACAATACGTTTGTTTTAACCTTAATAGTTCCTAGGGAACTTTTATACCTTTTTAAGTACCTCACACATTAGGATTTTCCACGTAAAATACTGTCAATTAATCAAATTTATACGATTTACAAATTACGTCTTGTAACTAACTAGCTAGTGCTCGCGACATCGCCCGCGATGAATTAAAAAAAATGTAAAAACATAGCCTATGTTACTCACAGTTAAATTACTTTTCAAACGATGAAAGAATTTTTATAATCAGCCCCATAGTTTTTGAGCCTATTCATTACAATCAAACAAAGTTTTCCTCTTTATAATATTAGTAAAGATTAGATGATTTTTATTTACGTAACGTTTATAATTGTCTACAATTACGACTTAATTTATTCTTTTGAAATGGAAAATGCCTACAAAAGTACAATGACTATAAAAAGGTAACGACAAGTAAACAACCACATAGCCGAATATTTAAAAGCAAAATGCAACGGTAATTTTTTTTGTGCTTTACAAAGGAATGCTTTTTATCCATGGATACAATAAAAACCAAAGCTGAGTAGAAACAAAAAGTAACTAAAGATCGGAAACAAAGAGCACAGACCAACTTATAGATTAAACAACGAAAAAGGCACCACAGATAAAACAATAGGTATAATTTGTCCAATTTTTAATTGTAATTCTACCCTGAATAAATTTCTATGTCGGAGAAGGTCGGCGCAAGGTGATCCGGCGTCATTATATAAGATTACGATGATGTTTGCGTCGACCTCCTTCCACTCATTGTAAATAATTCTATTTATACTTATTATCTCTACGCGCGTTTAATAACGCATACTGTATTCTGTGCTCTATACTGTATCCTAACAATCACAACTGATCTTTGAGATCGATCCGAAAATTGGAAATACAAGTACAAGCGTGAAATGGGATTCCCATTTCATATGATATGTATACACCGATCCAAACAAGTTAAGATACCAATCTTTCCCAGCATATAACACGTACACGTGCTTACGTTATTCTTAATGGATATTAATAGCAGACGTGACCTTCCTTTCTTTAGTATGGGGGACTGGACCCTGCTCCATACACATAAGTTACGCGCTACATACCAAGTGTATCTGATTAAAAACTACGACTAAATTTTTCATGTACATAACACAAAGATGGAGTGTTTAAATGTTATCAAATGTTACAAAGCGTCTACTTGACAATATTTAACTGTAAATAAATATCAACAGAAACACTACTGAGTATTCATTGAATGATTAAATTAAACACAAGTACTTTGCTGCAACACTGTAATAACGTTGCAATCAGCGATGGTATACAAGGTCATAAGGCAAGAGACACACTGGCCCTATTGGCCTAACCTACCACCAACATAATTGACATCGATTGTCAATAGCATCTTTCGTGTCTAATCAATTCAATTATTCTGAATTACAACAATCATTTTGACTGCATCAATGACGACCTATAGTGCAATTAAATTGTATCTATCTACCGCATTCAAGCTAATCTACAATAATATAAAAAAACGTACACACTACTCTGTGACGTAAGATGTCAGAAGTCACAGCATATTTTTAAATTATTCTTTCTTAAATAAAAAGCCCTACACGCCACGCTTTAACCTATTTTTTTCATGCTTTTAAACTTAGAGAGTAAATAAATTAAGTTAAGGGACCCGAAGATAAGTTAAGACAATCTTTATTTACTAGAGTTCAATTAAACCCTTATAAATCAAAGTTATTGTTCTAAAATAAGTAAATAGGCCTACTTGAGTTTGTAACTAGGTTAATGAGACACTCTAACTTCAAGGCAAACTTTTACAAATAGTGAATACAGCTGAGGCTTCGTTTTGTATATAGGCAAGTGGGTCACTGTGTATTCGACCTATTTATTTTCATATTATTCTTTCAGCATTTTTTATCTTCATTAAAAGATTTTTGCATAAGATATTTGTCTGTATTACTCTTCTATAGACTTCTATCAGACGAAATCTTCATACATACCCTTCACACGCTTATCCCTTTCACATAATCCATCCACATAGGGAAATCTTTTGCTATTAATCCTAATATAATCACTTAAACAATGAACAATACATTTATTTTAAAGACCGTTCCTCCTCGAGACTGACTATGACGTCATCAAGCAACTATCGGTTTGTTTTATAACTTTGTACATGTAATATAAATGACGTCCTATTTTTATTCATGAGACATTCGATATTTTTATGTACGGAACATCGTTGCCAGATGTATGGACATTATATTACTTTTGCGACTAAAAAAAATAAGGAAAGATTCCTCACTGCATAAACATAAAAACCTTAGAACTCCGTAACTGAAAACAATTGCGTTAAGTTTATTCTCAAGATTTAAGACGTATGATATCATTAATACCGTTTATAAAAAAAAAAACAAAAGAACCGGTTACGATGTGAGTAGGTTCTAGTAAGCCTTGAAAACTTCGTAATGTAATTTAACCTTATTTAGGATTATTTAGATAAGATTAACAAATATTTGATGGAAATAGTTTCGTCCAAAAGTAATTTTATTGGTTATTGAAAATAAATAAAATAACACACAGCAATTGTCTCATTTCATTATATTAATATACAAAACTGAATAAAAAACGCTTTTAAATTTAAAATAAATAAGATTCATATTTTATTACTCATTTTTAATTTTCAACACGCAAGCAGCTAAGGCTAAAAACCCTCGTGGCAAATCGTATAATCAATACCAAACGTTCATTGACCTATACCGATGACTTTTATGCGACCAAAGTCGTGCACTTCCTTCATATTTTGCTTTAAGAAACTTCATTCAAACCAAATCAATAGACATTAATTCTGGATTTCTCAGATTAAATATACCCTAATTTTACTAATGTTATAAATGCGAAAGCTTAGATGGATGTTTGTTAGAGTTTGAAGCCTAAATTGCTGAACGGATCTGGATAAAATTTGACTATTACTTTTTTTATCCCTCGTGGACGAAATCGCTAGCGAAAGCTAGTATAAATCCAGCTAGTACAAGAAAAATATAGTTGCCAGGCCACCTTTTCGGGTTTAACCGGAATTATTCGACCCATTATGCCACACAAGACTTTTGTTTAAAGCAATAATTTTGCAACTGTTGAAAGGGGATTTTTATGATTCATGGAAATATTCGTCATAAAGGTTTTACATCGCGGCAGTTCTGACTAAATAAAATACTTGAGGAAGAGAGAAATACGTCTTTATGGACAACGTAAGCAATAGAATTTTCCATATAAATAAAAATTAACTTTACAAGATAACCACATTGAATGAATTTGTACATCGTTATATCAACGAGTACTTAATGCTGATAAAATTAATACACATAAATACAACATCTGTTTCAACTCCGTTGGTAATCGCAAAGCTAGTATGAAACGTGGTATTTTTAGCAGTGCTCTTATATTTGTATGTGTTTCTAGATCATTCCACATTCATGAAGCAAATCGTGCAAATAACTATGGGCATAACAAACCACAATAACAGTTGTGGCTTTACGAATGCAGTAATAAAATCTGACGACAAAATGGTTTGTGAGAATCATACAGTATGATTAGGTGTATTTTTAGATTAAAACCACTTTAATTCTTGTTTTAGAGATGATTATTGTACAACCAAACACTATTCTTAATAATTTAATTTTTTATGTCTAATAACCTACAAATTTCACTCTCAATTTTGTACACATCATGATTATCCAAAGATTTAACAAAGGTAAAACGCAACAGTGTACTTTTATGAGTTATTCGTAAACTCAAGAGTTTTTTTCAAACGGTATTTAATTCTTTAGTAAAGTTAGCCTTGGATACTCGGCAATGCTTTGATCAATGTCAACTTTAAGGAAACAGGCCTTGTTTAAGGAAATAAACAACATTAATTCTCTCAATTTACGTGTATTTCGAAACTAACAGCCTCTGTAGAAGTAATTCTTTGAAGGTTTTATTTCTAAACTAAAACATTTGAAGGCTATAAGCAGTCAAATAAGGAACCGTGTCTTGATATCAATACTCTGATAGTTTGAAGTAATCCGTTTCCATTAAATATATATTTCTACCGATAACCGTAGATGTTAATTGTAATTCCGAATCGTTTACTTGATTATGTTTTGACCTCACTAGAACATAATCGACCTTCGATTGCTTAGTAAATTTACTACCGTAGTTTTTTGGTAAGCGTTCAAAGTCTTTAATTTTCCGTTTCATCGGTTCGGAATTTAATTTTAATCTGTTAAACAGACCAGAATAACGTAGTATTCACAATTCGAGTGTATTCAAATTATAAAATTACTTAGCTTTCGTCCGACTTTTTCCGCGTAGAATTAAAAAAAAAAATCAAAAAGTGAGTAGTCTGTGTGTTCTTCCAAACTATC